TCTTTTTTGCTCTGGACACGTAGAGACCAATGGTTGTATCTTAGATGGCTATTTACAAGCTTTCAAGATCTCAGACACTACTCACCAAACTAGGATGTAGAACGTAACGTTACGAACTGTATTATGCCAGTTGATGGAGATGTTCCATGAGACCGTGGTCCTATTCCTTCAAATCCAGAAAAACAGTCCTGTGAGGTGTTTGACTGTGTCTAATAAGTATCCATAACTGTGCCCCCATGTGCTTTATTATACATATTAATATATGTGCATATAGCCACATACATGCATATATATACACATAGGCACACACCTGTATATATATACATATATACATACCTATACACATATATGCTTACATACATACATACAGTCATGTACCACATAACATCCATTCAGGCAACGTCCAACTGCATATACATCCAGGGTCCCATAAGGTTATAATAGAGTTCAGAAATCTCAATTAGAGAATAGGACATAGTGGACGTAACCAGAGGACTTAGCAAACACAGCAGCTTCCCATACCAACACATGTATCTCTTGTGTCTTGTATACAAAGTGATTGCACTGCCAAGTAATAATGTTACAATACATACATAACTTACAATACATATGTCTTGATAGTCATAATAAACGCCTGTGTAACTGTACTTTCATTGTCATTTTCACTTGAGCTTTCCCTACTTACAAATAAAAAGTTTACCTGTTAACAGTATATGCTTTGAATCATAGGCAGCAGCATCCAATACCTGTGTGATGCATCTGAGTGTTGTAGTGTTCTCTCTCTATTTAATTTTCTTCTGAAATTATTACCGCGAAGTCCATCATGGCTCCCAAACGCAGCAAAATCAGTGATAGTGATAGCAGCAGCAAGAGGCAAAGAAGAAGTATCGATTTGGAAGTGAAACAAAAGGTTATTAAACAGCACAAAGGTGGAAAATCAGTAAACGCTATTGCTCGCAATTTAGGCATGTTCGTGAAACATGCAAGTCACATAACGTCCTGTATCACAGAATGTATCATGGACGTTAAACAACACGTGACTATATACCTGCACATACATTTTTTGGTTGTTTTTGCTGTTATTTCGAGATTATATATGCTATAGCAATTACCAGCAGGTCCTTTTTTCCTGTGTACATTTTAGTGACATTGTTTGCCTTTGTCAGGCTGTGTACACTTCACCCTCACTAGGTTTTTCTTTTACTGTTAACAAAAATAACAAATGTCTACTACCTAGAGAGTGAATCCTCTTCTCCCCTTCCATCCCTGGTAACCACTAATGAACATTAGTTTCTATACATTTGCCTGTTTATGTCATTTCATAAAAATGAGAACATACAATATTTGTTTTTTTGTGATTGACTTATTTTGCTTGTAATGTCCTTCAGGTTCATCCATGTTCCAAGATGTTTTGGGAACTCTTTTTTTTTTTTTTATCGTTGAGTAGTATTCCCTTGTATGTATGTACTGCATTTTACTTATCTAAATTCATTCATTGATGGGCACTTAGATTGTTTCCATCTTTTTGCTGTTGAGAATAGTGCTGCGATGAACATAGGTGTGCATATGACTGTCTGTGTCACGTCTGTTAGATCCCTAAGGCGTGTACCTTAGCAGTAGATTTGGTCGGTCATATGGCAGCTCTGCCTTTAGTTTTCTGAGGAACTGCCAGACTGTTTTCCGCAAGGGCTGCACCATTTTGCATTCCCACTAGCAATGGATGAGGATTCCAGTTTCTCCATATCCCCCCATCACTTGTTATTTTCTTTTTTTTTTTTTTAATCTTGACCATCCTGATGGGAGTGAAATGTTATCTCATTGTGGTTTTGGTTTGTATTTTTCTGATGGCTAATGAAGTTGAGCATCTTTTCGTGCGTCTGTTGGCCATTTGACTGTCCTCTTTGGTGAAGTGTCTGTTCGTGTCCTTTGCCTAGTTTTTGATTGGGTTGTCTTTTTGTTAAGTTCTGGAAGTTTTCTATGTAATTTAGATATTAGACCCTTATCAGTTATATCATTTCCAAAGATTTATTTCCCAGTCTGTAGGTTGTCTCTTTACTATTTTAATAAAAGTCTTTTTATGAACATAAGTATTTGACTTTTATGAGGTCCCAGTTATCTACCTTGTTTTCTGTTGCTTGTGCAATTTGTTGTTCTGTTTGACAGTCTACCACTGAAAAAAATTAAGTCCCAAAGCTTCGCGACTATGTTTTAGTTCTTATCAAATTAATACATGCCAACCTGTCCACCCTCAGAAAAAATCACTTTTAACCATCTTTTGCTTTCAGTTCTTTTTCTAGTTTTCCTTCTTAATACTAAAACTTGGAGGTAACTATAGATAATATGCTTATACATCTGTTTCTAAATTTATCACCCTTAGATAATTTCACTGACTCTGACATCAAAGATGAGGATTTAGCTAATTTATATTATTTTCCTTCTTCCTCCTTGTTCTCAATCCTTGATACCTATATTTTAGTTTATAGTTTATATTGTTTTTTGGTTATGCTATTAGTCACTGTTGTAAAATTTAGAGAAAAAAA